TTTTTTTTACTTTTGCCAGACGATGCTTTTCACGAGGCTCGTCATCATTATCATTCCCAGTCACGTGAAGCTTGCGCTGTTTATTTCCGCACAGTGCGTTTGCCCGTCCTTGCCAGCAGGGGAAGTCTTTTTGGGTTAGACTGGGGTTTATGAGTGTAACCTCACGGGACAAAGCAGAAAAGGACAGAGCGGCAGCAGCAGACAAGAGGCAGAGGCAGAGGCAGAGCGGTCCAGGATGACAGATGGCTCCTGGACACCAGCTCGCCAGCTTATCTTTAGTGAGGTGGAGGCCGAGACACATGGACTGAAAGGCCACAGAGCAGACGAGCAGGTGGGTTTGGCAGACAGATAGACGGACTAATGCTTCGATAGGCAGACGTCCAGACAGGAGAACACAGACGGCTCTGTCAGTGAAGGCCTGAGTGGCTGGAGCTGCTGAAAAAGCACACCGGGCACAGACGGAGTCGGCACAGAGACTCTGACGACACCGTCTGACACGCATGCATTCACCTATGTGCGAGCCACCTGAAATAGTGTCAGACTGTAACACGAGCAGCCGGACCAGCAGACACCTCGCACGCAAACACACAATGTGTTAAAAATTTAAATTCAGTTAAATGAGCCTTGCACTCGGAATAAAGCGTGTTAGTGCGGGGACGTTTGTGTGTGTGTGTGTGTGTGTGAGACTCTGTGCTCAGTAGCATTACTCATGAGTTGTAAGCTCATCCACTGTCAGGACAAGCTGTGAACATGGTCTTCACAAGGCTGCGCCCCACAGATGGTGCCGTCTGCCTGTCTCACTCTAATGTCAAGGATAAGGGAACACTTTTCTTTTTGTTTTTTTTTTATATGTGAGAATCTTTGAATAATACCCATCTCTGGTTATGTGTTGACTTGGACTCAGTGTAGCTTCTCGATAAATCCGAGGTCTGACTCTCCAATGCTAAACTAACTTCACTGATGCTCTAGTTTCTGTTCAATCTCCTAATAGTATCGTATACATTACCACAAGTCTGTATCCCAACTACATTTGAGTGAAACCCAAAACCTGCAGCTTGTTCACCTTTATTATTCAATAAAATAGTAAAAATGTAACTATGTAACATTAGATGTTACTAAATCACACACAGTCTGCTAATGTAAAAAAACCAAACCACATTAAAGGTGACTGGTGTCTTGTCAACTTTGAAGGCTGTCTGACAACAACACTCTGTCTGCTGTTATATAATTGGGATTGCCAACTTTAAGTTTATCACATTGTTATTGAAAGGTGTAGACATTTTCTAAACACAAAAGATAACATTTTCCAAGGTCCCTGTTTTCCTACGTTAGCTTCATTTTTTTTTTTTTTTTTTTTAGTCTTGAGCCCCAAGCTTCTGCTTTCTTTTCTCCTCTGTGTTTCTCACAAACAGTTTCAGAGAGAAGAAGAGAGCAGAGGCGACGAGGGAGGGGAAGCGGGGCAGTTCATGTAGTCCTGAATAGCAGGGTGTTTTCAGGCTGCAATGACAGGCTCAGACAGGCAGCCGCTCTAATGACCTCTGACGCCAGGGCCTGTCTCTCTCAGCAATAACAAACACACACACACACACACTCTCACACTCACACAGGGCCCCACAGGTGAGCTCCACCACCAGGCCCTCTGTCAGCTGTTGAGAAAGTCCAACGTGTCCTTGTTCTTGTCAACCCGGGCTGTTCCTGTACGTACATGTAAAATAAGGGTCTTGAGAACGATGCCTCCGCCAGAATCGGAGACGCAGCCTGCGACACAAAAATACTTTCTGTCTCTTATCTGGAAGATAAATGTTTTTTCCTCCATTTAGTCTAAGGTAGATAACTGGGTACTTAGTTTCCCCCAGTACCCCATGAGGATGGATTTACGATAAACTCCCCGAGGCTTGGCTCAGACCAACTTCAAAGAACACAGCCCCTCTTGTTTTACAGAAGGCATGCTTTCAGTTTTTTTTTCACTCCCAGCCCCCCTCCTCACCCTCCTCACCCTCTCCTTTTTCTGTCTCTTCTCCTGGTGTTGTCTTTTTCTTCCCCTTTTTTCTTCCTTCTCCCCACGTCTAATGAAGGCTAATGACAGGCCGCAGCGAGTCTGCTCGGGCCAGCATATATCCTGCCACATTAATGTTGCAGTTTGTCTCAGACGGGACCTTCCAAATTACCAGTTACATTCACAGCCACCGCAGGATGAAACGAGTAGAGGGGGAAGGGGGCGGGTGGTGGCAGACTGGGGTCGGGGTGGGTAGATTGGGGCAAGTGAAACGGCTCTGAGAGGGGCTCTGTTCATTTTCTTCTTTTTTTTTTTCCTCCCCTCTTATTCACATACGTTTCCCGTCTTTGGGATTTCTCAACCGTTGAGCTTGTTTTTCACCGAGGCAGGATTTGAGAGTTTGTGTTTGTGTGGAGGAGATTCAGTTCAAATGAGCAGCTGATAATAGTTGCAAAAGCTCAGGTAATTAGGGGAGTGAGAGGAAGCAAATTTGCAAAAGTAACAGTGCAAAAAAAAAAAAAAAAATTGAAAAACATTCCTTTGCTTCCCCACCCTGCCCCCTTTTTCTTTCCTCTCGCATTCTCTCCGTCTCCCTCTATTTCCCTCGCGCCTGACTGGCTCCCACTTTTCTTGCTGGGAGTAGCTGGGAGCCAGATTTCTGTGCAATAGAGATATGAAGGGGGACGGCACAGGAGGCACACTAAAGGGAGACAGGAGAGGGAGGAGGAGGAGGAGGAGGACGAGGTGGTAGTTGTGGTGGGTTGGAAACTGGAGCACGGCCAATGCTACACTTCTTTTACGCTCAGGGGAAACTTAAGACTGGAGAGGTCTGAAGCTTGTCAACAATTTAGACAGCAGGGTTTAAGAGTTAATGGCCTGCCTCAGCTTGGCAGCTAAACATCACAGTAAACAGTGCAGGCTCTGTGTTTGTACCGAAACCCTTCGTCATGTTGTATTTTTTTTTTGTTTTTTTTTTTAATGCTCCTTTCCTGCCATCCTCATCTCTGTGAAAACACAAATTCAGACATACTTTCTAATTTCCTCCAGCGGGGTGAAGCCTGTTGCTGGAGGGAGATGATCAGGACAGTGAGCTGACGTCATCACATTGTTGGCTCGGCTGCAACATAAATACAGCGGGCCAGACAGAAGATAAGCATTTAATGCCTAGACAAATATTGTACTGCGTGTGGACACTTGCCTGCCAGTGTCTCTGGGTTGCTTCTGCCGTCTGAAGTCCATGAATTCCAACATGGTTTTCCTGTACGGCAAAAAATTGAGGATGACAGTTGAGTGTTGGCTGCAGACTAAAGCAAATTCTCTCGTTTCCCGAAACTGGTATGAGGGGAAAAGTGGTGAAGGAGGCAGAGTGTTGAGGAAGATATTTCGGTAGCCTCTCGCAGTCACTGCTTCACAGAAGTTTTTTGTTATTTATTTTTTTTATTTTCAGAACTTTGCTCCGTGAAAGGGCTCTTTGGGCAATGGTTAACCCCTGAACAATATTCTTTTTGTTAGTTCATCCGCAGGAAGCCAGAAAACTAGTAAACAGTGAGCATCATTTCAGGTAGAATCTGTTGTTTCAGTTCTACAGAACACTGAGTTTGCTATTTTCTCCGATGGTGTCGATCTTCATCTTCATCTCACGTACCCTGTCTTTAGGCTGATATGTTGTTAGTGGGAAGTAGGGAAGCTTGAAAAGAGAATTCTCCCTGTCTGAAAATGTGACAAATATCTGTGTGTGTTCAGAGGTCATGCTACATGAAATATCTTTGACAATTCAGTGTCTCGCATCATCTGGTTGAGCTTAAATGTTTTCCTTTATGTTGCAACCGGAGTTCTAACGTTCCCCCTTCTCTTGTTGTGATTTCAGATTCCATGGCAATGCAGGAGTCTGGCGAGCGGGCCCACTGGTGCGTGGTGGCATACTGGGAGGAGAAGACACGCGTTGGACGCCTCTACTCAGTCCAGGAGTCCTCTCTGGACATCTTCTATGATCTACCTCAGGGGAATGGCTTCTGCCTGGGTCAGCTCTGCTCTGATAACAAGTCCCAGCTGGTGCAGATGGTGCGTGCCAAGATCGGCTATGGCATCCAGTTGACGCGTGAGCCAGACGGGGTGTGGGTCTACAACCGCAGCTGCTACCCTATCTTCATAAAGTCGGCCACACTGGACAACCCGGACTCACGCACGCTGCTAGTGCACAAGGTGTTCCCCGGTTTCTCCATCAAAGCTTTTGACTATGACAAGGCCGGCAGCCTGCAGCGGCCGAACGACCACGAGTTCACACAGCAGCCGCGCACGGGCTTCACAGTGCAGATAAGCTTTGTGAAAGGCTGGGGTCAATGCTACACCAGACAGTTCATCAGTAGCTGCCCATGCTGGTTGGAAGTCATCTTCAACACCCGATAGCAGCAGCCTTTCCTCTCCTCCACCCTCCTCGCCTCTTTTCGCCCTCCCCCATCGACAAACAGACTTCACCTCCTTTCCTATTTTGTTCCAGAGGTTCAAAGAGAGAAAAAAAAAGGTTTTAAAAAGAAGATGAAAGTATAAGATTCTGACGGACTTTGTTTATTAAAAGACAAAGATTTAATTAAATAAAATAAGAAGTGAAAAATGTATTTTATGTTATATATAAATATATTATTAATTGTAAATACGAAGACGTTTTATATGCATCATTATTTATGTATTGTGCAATGTGTTGATGAGAAAAAGTAAATAAGATGCACTTTGCTTAATATAAATGCAAAAACAAAGAAATGCCAAAATAAAAAAAAATGTACAAACAACTTGATTTTTGCTCTGTTTCGTCATTTCATTCAAGTTTTTCTTTCTTCAAATTTTTGCTTATGTGAATGGATCCAGAAATAGCTTCTCCAAAAATGTTTAGATGTTCCGGGTAAGGAACTACTCTGAGACGTGAGTCACGGAGCCGAAACTTCGTGTCTCTTTTTCTCAAGACTCATTATGTCTTTCAACCAGCGCCAGTTTTTTTCCTGAGTTATTCTGGGATGAATGTCCCTCTTCCTCCGTGTCATTAGTCGACTGGTGACATCAGAGCCAGGAAGCGGTGATGAAAAATTTCAGGAACCATTTAAGTCAACAGAAAGTTCAGCTTCCAGGAGGAGCCTTGACAATTTATTGTCCCGTGAATGAGTCAAACAATTGCTCAAAGAATTTGGTGACACACCTGAGGGAATACACTCATGGTGGAATATTACAGCCTCCCTCAGATGTCTTGTGAGGGAGGACATCTGAGGGACACATGACTGGAAGGAGAACATGATTAGAAATAAAGGGTCTTTTTTTGGGCCCATTGAATTACAATGAACGAGACAAAACTGACTTCCTTCGAATGGAACCCTGGGAGTCTGCACGTTTGTGAGGCTCTGTCTGGGTCTCATCCTATTGATAGTCAGATGGGTGTCTGTGAAGAGGATTACTACTGTAAGCCTGCTTTACCCACACACGCTGTCTCCAAGACCTACATTCACAAGACCCACTTTCAACACCGACCAACTTTCATCCTCGACTTTGTTCCACCCCGCAGTTAAATAATGATATCAGTCCCAGGTGTACACTGGGAAACAAAACTTTAACTGTAGCTTGAAGGGTTGAATAACGTAGTAAAGTACGACCATACATTCATTTGCTATAAATGTATCTTTTACTAAAAGAGGAAGAGGGAATATAAATATATTATGATACCGTAAAAATACATTTTTTCCAAGTCTGTTAACTTTCACTTCCTTTATTTTATCTCCTGAGATATTACATAAATTCAGCAGAAATCTCAAACGTAATTAAAAGTTTTGTTAATATTTAGTGGAACAAGCTACACCATAGTGACCTCTCAAGGAGGAACCATGTTCCTTACAATTATGGACTGCACTCAGCTAATACAACTGCAGTCGTTTCTCTGAACGACTGTAATCTACATTTGATTCTGTCTGATATTTTGTTTAATTCTGGGTAAATATATATTTTATGACTAAATAAAAATGTGCAGTTATTCACAGACTATATGAACCGTTCTCAACAGATTACAATTCCGGAACACGTTCAGTTTTCTTCGTTTGGTTCGCTCGGTCTATCTTAAATTGTATTTCCTTAAGTTGGTGAAACAGCGCCCCTCTTACTACGGATGCATCAGTTGTAAAATGCGGTCAAAATTGGTATTACACCTTTTTCTGCAATCAGGTGTGTGGTCATGCAGGATTTGAAGTTCGTATTTAGAAGCTGTTATTTAACAAACGCGGACACTCTCAGGGAACCACTTGTGGATTATTATTGAATACTTATTACTAAAATTAAATTATTTTAAAACGGGATTTCAAGTACGTCAGTGGAGACCAGTCATGGATTATCAGTAGGCCACTGGGACATGTCTATCACCTGGACATCGCTCATCATCATCATCATACACGTGAGTTAGTCGCTCATCATCATCATCATCATACACGTGAGTTATTAACCAAATTTCTTTCTTTGTAAACCGTGTCACGTCGCCTGTTGCTATTTCGTTTTATTTGTTTTCAGTGTTCCCTGTGTTTACTAATGCTATGACGACAGTTTTAATTAAATTAAGGCATGTACGGACTGGCATATTTCATGAACATGAAAAACGTACCTCCAAACAAGATGGGGCTACAGCAAATTCTGTTGTTTCCGTTCAGGTTTGGTTCATATATGATGTTTGCAATAGTTTTAAGATTCTTCATTTTTGAGGGTTGAAAATTAATTAAAATAAAACTGTAGAACTTGACAAATATATAATGGTTAAACTTTTATTATTGAATGCCTTTAAATTGTAACATCTCTTATGGAATATTTGAATCTAGCTCCATCTTTCCTTGTCAAAAAAGAGCTATTAAAGTTCCTGGCAGAGGTGGGACCAAGTCATTGCTTTGCGAGTCACAAGCAAGTCTCAAGTCTTTGCACTCAAGTCCGAATCAAGTCTCAGGTCCAAATAGGCAAAGTCCGAGTCGAATCCAAGTCAAGACTGAAAAGTGTCAAGTCAAGTCCCAAGTCCTGCCGTTTCTGTTTTCGAGTCCTTCCACTCACTGCCACTCGTTTTTTGTTGACCATATCGTAGTTTTTAAATCCGAATAACACGATCTTTTGTATAATTTTCTCTAACCCGCGCATTGTTCGACAGCTCTTTCTCATTGGTTGTCCCGCAATTTGATTGGCCAACGTTTTATTTGATTGGATGTTGTGCCGACAGCACATACGTGCACAATGAGAGATACACAGCGCTCCTCAATAACTTACTTTATAATCTTTGGGTTTTGGAGAAAGTATCAAGTCTTGTCGAGTCAAAGGGCTCGAGTCCAAGTGAAGTCACGAGTCATTGATGTTAAAGTCCAAGTCGAGTTCCAAGTCTCTTTACATTTTGTCAAGTCGAGTCTAAAGTCATCAAATTGATGATTCGAGTCTGACTCGAGTCCAAGTCATGAGACTCGAGTCCACACCTCTGGTTCCTGGGACTATTTTGGGCCTTAGATGAGGCTGTGAAGCAGGTTGTGACCTGGTGTGGAAGCACATAAACCATTAAATGCAACAAATTGTAGAAATTGTTTAGTCCCCCCCCCCCCTGTTGTGAATTCCTCTTGTACATTTCACTCCACTGACAATGACGGCGGTAGATGAGATAGAGCAGGAAGGCCACGGGCAGCCTACACATCTGGATGTTCTGACAAAGACAAGCATATTTTGCAGACGTGCTAACTCAGTTGTCTGCGTAGTTGGATGTGTTCACACATGTGCGGCTGACATGTGTGTGACCTCCTACGCATGTTGCATTTTCTATGGCGCACACATGTTCACAAGACGTTACTGTGACCTGGTGCAGAAATGGCTGGATGACACAATTCTCATGGATGCTTTACATTCCATCAATCTTCATGAAGTGCACACATTCGTTGACCTCCACACTTCTGCTGCGCACAGACGGCGTGAAAACACGATTTCTGCATAGACGGTCCCTTGTGTAAAGATGGAGGTCTGGACCACCTTGGTGAAATATGTATGTGCCAAAGGCATTTCTCTTCAGTCAAATAATCATAAATACTGAGCACTTTTACAAGTTTTGAAAAAAAAAAGTTCTCTCTTTTTTTCAGTCAGTTGTTTTTTCACGCGGTAGTTTTTTGTTTTTGCCCAAGCTAAAATTTTGAAGATGAGGGACTGCAGACTGATTAATATTGTAGAGTTCAACGGCTTCACTACAGTTTTGAAAGCAACTCTAAACGCTTTCATCAAGACAAAAAAAAGCTAAAATTTTGAAGAGAAATTTTGAGTTTAACTTTTGTACGTAATAATTTCATCAATTGTAATAGTCAAAATGTGTCCTTTCTCTGTTCTAGCAATTTACAGATGTTTATTTGTGTCATATTAAGGATTATTTACTTATTGTAATTAATCATGATTCATTTTGACGGCTATCTGGATTAAACTAAGGGATATAGAGACTTGCATGAAACCACAAAACCTGTATTTTCTATTCAAATCTGGCTAAAAATTGATGTTTGTTATGAATAAAATTGATATCAATAATGTCACCATTTCTATTAGTCAAAACATAAGACAGATATTTAAGGAATTAATAAAGACCTATCTGTCTATCTATAATAAGACTATTTACAGATATTTAAGGGATTAATAAAGACCTATCTGTCTATCTATTTAGGAATATTTATTTTTCTTGATTATTTACAATTATGATTAATCATGATTAATTGTTTAACAGGCCTAGAAAAATTTTTTTTAAATTTTTATTTTAGATATTTTCCATCACTATGACTCGTCTGACACTGTTGTTATAAAGTTTTAAAGTGAACTAAATGTCGGTAGGTAGTGGAGGTAGTGAAAAGCACTACAAGGTTCAACCTGAATGTGGACTCAGACCACCTATTTAAGCCAGACCAGATAGTTGATGTGGACAAGACTTTCCATGTTTACACAGAACTGAACCAAACTTCACTGACAGTCAGGTTTGAACAAACAGAACGAGGGCTTTAAAACCAGGAAATCAAACTTTGATATCTATATTTTAACCTTCTAACATTAGTCTGAAATACTACCAGTCTGCACGTTTGATGTTCATTACTTACGATCCAATCAGCATGGGGTTGGTCCGTAGTCATAACACCCATGTGGGGTAGATCCTATACTGCCTATATAGGTGTACACACACACATATAGAGACAGTGTTGTGTGTGTGTGTGTGTGTGTGTGTGTGTCTCTGGGGGTTGGGAGGGTAACCAAGGTTGTGGTGCGTAGGTGGGGCTCTACGTGCTTGTATCCATGAGTACGTGGGGAGGGGGGGAGTGGGGAGGGGGTTCCTCAGCCTTTTGTGTTCTGACCTTTTAACCTCAGGAATATTCTTTCTAATTAGGATCTCCATCGACGCTGATTCTGACGTAAACATCCTGTGGATGCTTTACATGCATGACTCACAGGTAGATATGTCTGGAATGTGGTTCATGTCAACTGGCATCATTGTTGGAAACATCCTATATGTGTGGTGTATTTATAGATGAAAGGATCCTGGAGGCTTTGTGCTCTCATTGGTCGCTGCCTAATATATTATTATCTTTCCAGTGTGTGTGTGTGAGTGTGTGTGTGTGTGTGTTGGCCCATGTGAATAAATCGACGTATTCCTGCATGCGTGCCTCGGTGCATGTATGTAGAGATTCAGCATGAAGTCCCAGTCTGTGCTTGGAAACACAAAGCCATCCCACTCTCCCCCCCCGCCCCCCCTCCCCTTTTCCTCTTCCCTGCATCGACA